TAAAAAAAAAAGTAAAAATTCGAAAACATTTGCCGGACCATCATCCGAACCCAACCCGGTACACATTTTCCAGGTGCCTCTATAGCCTAAGAAAAAAGCTCAGATTGTTATATAGTACTCATTAAATAAATCAATGTCATTTCTTTATGTTATATTATTTACTACAATAATCATTGTAACTGCTATTATAAGTAAAATATTAACCAATGCCTTAAATACGCCATATATATGTAATTAGGGACATCCTTGACTATAATGCATCCAAAATGGATTATCTTTAAATACTTCGACAGTTTTTGGATCAGAAGTTTTCATCAACACTTTACCTAAGTACATACATGGTTCATTTGACCTGGCCTGCCAAAGCCAAATTTTATCCAAAGAAAAGTTATCTTCATCCTTTCTCTCTGGCATTACAACAAATGGGCCTAAACGACGTAATGATCTATAAGACCATCCTGCTGCAATATAACCGAATGTTGAGCCATATGTAAGCACCAGATCATCACAAAAACTAAGAATCTTCATATCGATAAGAGCGCCTATTTCTGTACCACGATTAAAATGGCTATATGGATTTTCAATGCTCATATCATTATTGATATGAACAATCTTAACAAATTTTTTGTTATCTGAATCGAGTGATTTGTGAACATAATTTATTAAGTTATTGCGACTTTCATTCGTATCAGCAGCTATAAAGACTGTCACATTCTTTTTGTCTATCCCCATTAATAGCATCTCCACCACTTGACTATAATGTTTTATAGGTATTATCATTTTATTAGTTTTTTTAGTTTTCTTCCTTACTCTTAAATGAATTCCGATATTATACTCTCCAAAATTATTGGTTATAAAATTTTCAACTTGTTTGTTGATATCAAATTTTAATCTTAATAATTTTTGACTAATAACAGTGAAAATTTTATAATCTGGTATTATCTCTTTAATCCATTCTTTATAATTAGGATTCGACATTATTGGTACACATACATAATCCCATGTATGGATACGTAAAATATCATAAGAATTTACTTCTTCACTACTAAGATTTCCTCTAGCTATTAGTGGAAATTCATTTTTCTTGATACTATGCAAACTTTTAACACTACGATTTTGATATAAATTTGCAACTTTTTCCCAGTTATGTTCAAAATCTTTCTCAAAGTAATCTGTAAAATCTTTATACCCATCAATAAAGAGTAGCCTATCAGTAATAATTGAGTATAAAAATCCACATACTATTCCAGGAAATCGATTTCCTATTCCTGTTTTCATATCAGGCTTTACAACAACAACTTTCGGAAGATTTGTTGAATTAGATACAGTAGACTGTTTCAATTTCAATAATTTTTTAACGGCTTCATCGTGTTTCTTAATATAATTATTGTATAGTGCATTAAATTTAAAAAATTTTTGATTTTGTTCCTTTTCGAGGTCTATAGATGATATAACGGAGGTAAAACGGTTTTTAATTGGAATAGAATTTTCTCTATGAAATTTATTAATGTAATATACTCCTAAGCATAAAAATAGAATTATGGTAATAAAGATTGAACGTCTCAATAATTTTAAAGACACCATTTTTCTTTTATTTAGAAAGTCGAATAAAAAATAAGATAAGAAATTACAGATGCAATTATATACGATCAAACCTCCTTAATTACAACTCCTTGTATTATTTATGGCATATGTAAGTACGGTGTTCCATTTGGGCCAAAAGTGCAATTTTTGTGAAAATTGGAAAATTCGAAATAGAAAATTCGAAAATTGAAAAATACGGTGTACCATAGGTACACAAAGTGACATGATTTAGTGTTTTAGTGGTTTACATAGTACATAACTTACGTTCTTGATGTAATTATAAAATAATACCTATAAATGGATCAAAAAAGCAGCTTTAACATATTTATATATTAGAACACTAGAACACTAAAAACTAGAACACTAAAACACTAGAACACAAACACTAAAACATAAACACACACTAGAACGCTAGCACACTAGAACACAAACACTAAAACATAAACACACACTAGAACTAGGCCTCTTTCCGCCTTCCAACATTAGGGTTGGATAGAGTTTAGTGGTTTAGTGTGTAGATTGGATTAGATTAGTCCCCGTAGATATCCGTAAGGCCCATATTTCGATCGTAGGGGTCGATTTAGCCCCTCACAACGCACGTATTCGAGATCGGATGATTTATTTGGATAAATTGCATCATATGTAATTTGCGATCAGATAAGTATTTTTAACACATTAAGAGTAACTGTAAAAAAATTCTATTATTAAACTTGACACTCATTGACTGTATCAACAAAATAGCCGTCAGTGAAATGGGATATCGGAGAAATGATTCAGGGAGGTGGGTTGTCAGTGAAATTGGCTGTCGGCGAAATTGGGATATACCATTTTATTTCTCGCAATAAAGTTTTATTCTCGTATTAAAAGTTTTTATGAAATAAAAAAAAAAATTAAGCCCAAAAGCAATAATTGATAATTATTATCCTCTAGATATTGAGTATATGTCAATAAATCTAACTATTCCGTCAATAACCTTTCATTTGATACAATAACCCAACATCAACGAATATCAAAGCTAATGGATTTTGGGTTAATGCTTTTTTTCTATTTAACTACTATGAGTATTATAATTTTTTGACGATGACATTTTGACAAAGAAGAACTGCTCAAGTATCGATTACAATATTTATTTTGATTATAATAAATGTGCATCATTACGGGCACATCGAAAACGGTATTTGAGAATATTTTGATTGCATCATAAAATAAGTGTTGGCATTTGACATGTGTCCAATAATTTTGAAAACGATTGGAAATATAAAATTTTATATGTCCAATATTTTTTTAAATTATTGGACATATGTCCAATGCTAACACTAGTGTTTCGGGCGTATCCAAAATATTTCGCCCAGACGAAATTATTTTACGCTGGCGAAATGTTTTCGGACATCAAAAAGTGCAAATTGCTATATGTTTTGCAGTTTGAACCTAAACTATTTCGCTCTGGCGAAATTATTTCTTATTGGTGAAATATTTCGGATTTTAGAAATTAATTTAGCCCGAAACACTAGCTAACACTGATAAAATGCATATTGGAATTTTTATCAAAAATTATGTATAAATATAATAATTATGGTTGTGCACTATTCAATCACATGCTAATTACATCGAGGTTGATGCTTGAGAGCATCCTAAGAGCCTTCATAGAAAATAGAAAATGAGGAACCGAAAAAAAATTCTAGATGTTCACTATTTATTCATATGATAACTATTTCATCAATAATTTTTTCATTTGGTACAACAGCTCAATATTAACGAAGATAATTAAATTTGTATTCGTAAATAAAAAAAAAAGACAAATTTTAATTTGAGCTTTTAATTTTTTAGGATTAAGGACATATTTTAAAACTAGTCTACTTGAAATAGATTGACTTCAGAGGTACTAATTTTTTTTTATACCAACCAATAATATATGGAAGTGTGAACGTTTTAATAAAGTAAAGAATAACCTTAATTTTCTTAAATAAGGTGATATAGGTTATAAGTCATTAATTAATTAATTAATTATTACATTGTTAATGAATATCAATAAATAAACCACGGAAAAAAAATAAAAAAGTAAAAATTCCAATCACAATAATTTCAAAAAAGAAATAAAATTAAAATTTCATTGTTTGCTACATCAGTTCTTAAAAAGTCTATAATACTATAACAATTATTTTATGAGATAAAATACTAATTATTAATACTATTTAGGCATGTGCATACAGTGCGTAATTAACTGACGATTGTACAAGAAATAAATATATACGAATAAAGAAAGACCGAATACTAATATAGTATAAAAATACAGTAACAAAAAAGTAAAACGGGTTAAGGTTAAACCGTGATAAAATATGACCCCTAGCTGAAGTTACACGAAGCATCAATGATATACGTTAATATGGACACAAGATCAACGATGATGTGCTTATATATTAGCCCAAAAAAGTATTACAAACACTTTAAGTAACGGTAATGCCGGTATAAACAATTAATATAATTTGTACAACGTATAGAAGTTATGACTCCTGGCAAAATTTTTTGCAAAGGATTTATCAATAACGATAATATAATTAATTGATTAAATGTCAAGTATATAACACTCTAATTCCAAGTATATAAAATGAATATTTTCGCAAAATAAAGGTGTCTTGAATTATTCTTAATTCGGGCTTTAATTTGAAGTTACCCCCTGTGGTAACAATAAAATACCACAATAAATGCACAGCTACTTAAGAATTCAAAATAAAGACTCATTTTTTTGTTTGTTTGAGATCCTTAAGAAAAATAATTCGATAATGAATTACACAAAGAAGCACATTGTTGGTAATAAAAGTTGATTGTAATACAGATATGGTAAACCAATTTATATTAATAACAAATTCATATATATTATAAGAATATATATTCCTACTAAATTAGACAGCTTGTGTCTAGGGATTTAAATTTAGGAAAGTTAGTACCATCTGAATTGTCTCAACGAAATGATTAAAATAATACAAAAGTTATTGCATTTTGGTTAAAATCTATATTCTGTATAGTAAATACGAATTTGATTAAATGTATACACGAATTTAAATGTTTAACGACCACCCCATAAACATTTAATGCGATAAGCGTTGATTACAACAAGTTCGTGTTATCATCTTTTGATTTTTGAAAATATTTTGTGATTCAAGACAAATATAAAAGCTTGAATTCTTCGGCATTAAATCTTCAAGCATTCTAACTCGAAATTAGACGCTTACTTTTAAGGTGAGAATATATTCCATTAATCCGAAAAAATTTATTCGATTAATAATATAATTATTTCATTATATCCATATAGATATTGAAAAAAGAAGTTTATCAAGATGATTAAGTTTGGCATTTTAACTACCTTGGCTACTCTTTTTTTAGTCTGCGTTGTCAGTTCATGTCACGGCCCAGTTCCTACTTCAATTGGAAATACAGAGTCTCCGAATGTCACTATTCCGAGCGATATCACTCCACCAGATGGCAATTGCTTTAAGTTTTCTTTATTCACCAGTGGATATTTATTGTATACATGCAACAAAAATAAAACTTGGTCAGCTGGTAAGTATGCATGCATGTGTATTTTATCACGTTGCAACTTTAATATTTACATTACATATTATGCAATTTTAGCGGGAGCCGACCTATTATACTTTAACAATGAAGAAGATACTTCTTCCTATCCCCATTCAGCCGTAGCTGCAACATTCGAAGCCCCAGCCCCAGGCATGTAAAACCTCGTCTATTATTGATTCAAATTTTTTTTTTTTTTGTGCATTTTGGCCAAAGTTAAGAATTTCTTTATTACGATTCTGACCGTATTTACATCATATAATAATGCTTGCCCGAGTTACCTGTAATTCGAAAACTTTGAATTTAGACTTTTTTCTTATATACTATAAATAGCATGTTAAATAAAGAATTTATTAATTTTGTTTAGGTTCGGGTATTGGATCTATAATTCCAAAAGATACCTCATCATTGGTTGTAACTACTAGTGCTACACATCCAGCACCAGACTCGAGAGATCTTCCTTGGGCACTTGGAAAAGCTAGTGTAATTATTGAAGTTTATTGAATTTTATAAAAATTCTTAACATTCACGATTAACATTTATACGGTCCCAAAAAACAGAATAACAAAGGTGATGGGGCTTTTAAAGATATTACTTATCTTGTTCGTGTCAATACTTGTGGCGGAGTTGCACCAGATAATTCTTTATGTAAGTTAAATTATTATAGATATATCGATATATATATTTGTTACTTTTTTATTAATTTATATTCCAATTATTAGGTGGTACAACTTATCCGACAGGTTATAATTATAGCGTAATATTTGATGCATTAGTCTATTTCTATCACCCTAATAAATAATGTCATTTACTTTAACATTATCTATAGAATCTTATTTTATTAATATGTATTTTAAGTTAGTATTATGGTCATACGGTTATCACATATTTTTTTTAATATAATGTTTTATTTTCTTTATTACGGTTTATATTCATTTATCACAAGATCGTCTACACATTGTTTCTATAATGCATCAATTATAACCATTGTTTGTGTTAGATTAGTTTATTATAAAGTTTCATAAGCGAGGAAAAGCTGAGATGAATTTTATAATGATATAATTAATGTATTGTAAAACGAAATTATACGATAAATGTGCATTGAATAAATAACTAATGGTTCTTTGTTCTTTTAAAAAGGCATATTTGCAGTCGTCTCAAATCTTAAAAATAATAATAGTAAACGAACGCTTTTCTTAAATAAAAACTAGCATTTTAAAGATTTGGAATTTATGTAACGTATAAATCTTTGCACGGTAGTGCTCATCCCATCCCTTAATAGTTTTGAAAATATCCTTACATCTTCTACTGTTAGTATCGTAATGAATCCATGTGAATATTGTAGTCGTATTACTAACCTAATTGCTACGGAACTGATGGTAACCGTAGTTTTGTGACTCAGTCACTTCAATACCGAGAATGAATAGATAACTTCTCGAATTTGAATTGATAGATTATTAAATATTTATATGATTAATTAAATGAGTAGCATAATAAGCAGTAGCTTTAAAAACTGGGCGAAACTGCCGAAACTTCCAAAACTGCCGAAACTTCCAAAACTGCCGAAACTTCCAAAACTTCCGAAACTGTCCGAAACCTCAAAAATTGGGCGAACTTTCCGAAATATTCCGAGTAAAATATCAAAGAACGTAAAATACGAGCAAGGTGGAGAGAAAAATAGAAGTTCCGAAACTTTCCGAAATACAGAGAGCTTGGAAGGATGTCCAGAGGGTTTCGGAGGTTTCGGATTTTGGGGGAGGTTTAGGACGAAACACTAGTTTTGATATATATTCAATAATACCTGATAACACAAAATAATACTATTAATTAAAACCATATTAGAGATAAAAAAACTATAATATCTATCTAATTTATTTATTTTAATTAGTATACTTTATTTAAATTTAATGAAGGATTATCAAATTTTTTATTTTTTATTATAACTTTTTTTATTTTAGCTTTTGACAATTACTAAAAATATTATACAATATCAGAACTACTAAAAATTGTAATGCAGTAATCAAGTTTGCAATGGCTTATGTCAAATATTTCACTAAATAGATTCGGAATCTAATTAAGTAATATAAATTTCATTACACAGATTGTTTGATTAAAAATTTAAATAAACTACAATACATTATCTAATACAATTAATAAATGAACTTTAAACTGTACTCACACTCTATATACCAGTGTTGTCAATTGGACAGTTTTGTTTTTGGACACTGTGTCCAAAACCTGTCCAAAATCTTGTCCAAAACCAAAACTAAATTTAATTGGTTTTGGACAAATGATGTCATCTAAAGCAGAGATAAATCATATGATCAATCACCAATCAAATCATAGAATTTTGAGAAAAATCTGAAAAATACAAAAAATAGCAGCCTAAATCTATCTTGTACAGGTTAATTAAAAATAGTAAAAAGTCAATTTTGCATATATATAATTATTTAAAACATCTTCTAATCTTATCCTAAAGTGACTCTAACTCTAAAGTTGATTGGCAGTTGATTATATAATTTATTTTCACTTTAGATATCCTCCAAATATACGTATATAAAAATTAAAATTATTAATTTAATATACATATATTTAAATATTATATAATATAAATATAATATATAATAAATAATAAATATATAATATCTTTTGATTTTGATCTTGATTCTAATCAAATATTACATAGGTTATGTAAACTATATAATGATTCAATCAATCTAATCTTTAATATAGCATTTATTAATATAACTATTTCATTATTAAGTGTTCTTAATTTTAGTTTTGAATAAAGTGCACTACATATTACTTTTCTTTATTATACTATATTAGATATATATAACTTTGTAGTTATAGTTTATTTTACTTATAATATATAATAAGAATAATATAAATATAATATAATTATTTATATATAATATTACAAATAATCTAAATAATAACTTCAAATTCTAAAATTTTAATTATAAAAAACTTTAAATTGTTTAAAAATCTTATATTACTTATTAATAATTTCAATCCAATTTTGAATAGTTTTGGACAATTTTGGACAGTTTTGGACATGTCCAAAACTGTCCAATCAAAATATTCAATTGGACATGTCCAATTGACAACACTGCTATATACTATATACGAATAGAATAATTCAATGAAAAGTATTATATAAAAGATACGTGCTATAAACAATACAGTAATCGATAATTTTCATTAAATCATGAGGCAAGAATAAAAAGTAATGAATTAAAAAAGTATAAAACAAAGTAAATACGTGCATATTATAAACAAACTTTAAACAATCAAATAAAAATAATAAACTTTATGCTAATAGTTAAATTTAAAGATATAGATAAACAAATGCTATGCTAATTACTCAACATTGATATTAAATTTTAATATATCTGTTAAAGTAAATGCAAATATTAGACAATTATATGATATTTGCCTACTTGCAGAATTTCTATTTTTTTTAATTTAAATAGATTGTAATCGTATATATTCTGCAACTGTCTTAACTAAATTACTGACAAACAGGAAAAATCACATAGATCCCCCATAGTTATCTATAGTGATGTTAAACCTTTAAACATTGGCTCGAAACAGTTAGTAAACTAACGACGGTCTCATCTAGCGTAATTTAATTTAAATATAAATTTGAGAATTTGTACGAGATTTCTACGGTTTACTAAAATATTCTGTAAATTTATTTGCATCATATAGCTTGCTAGTGTATATGTCCTGTGAATGTATTTGTTTACTCGGTTTTGGTTTAACCTTATTAGCTTCCAAAATTTGTTTTTTAATTTCATTATCGTCTACCTGATCTATTTCATCTAACCAACGAGTGATTATTTCAATAATTTCTTTTGCAGTAGGTCTTTTATCAAAATCTTTATCCATACATTTCATAGCCAATTCAATATAACAATCAGGACCTAAGCATTTAGGCCTTGATCCGCCAATAATTTTTGATACAAGATGATCATCAAATGGAATTCCATCAAATGCCCTTTGTCCGGTCGAAATCTCTGTCGCGATAACTCCAAGACTATAAATATCTGATGCTTGAGTATACGGTTGACACACTAAAATCTCAGGTGCTATATACGGTAGAATTCCGCAAATTTTTCCTTCCTTTACATTTTTAGAAAGTCCAAGATCAGCAACGTATGCGTTATGCAAAGCAAGTGTTTGCAAAATATTTCCACTGTGTAAATCTCTATGAACAAGTTCCATTGAATGAATCGACTCAAGATCAAAGGCTATATAGCGCAAGAGACTCAATTTATCTTTCCATTCCAACTGTGATACTTGTACAAGATTTTGTCGTAACGAGCCTTTCCCTGCAAAATCCATAACAATAATATAATCACCATAATTATTTCTTGATACTCCAATACATTCCAAGAATGAAGGATTCTTGAAACCAATTTCACAGTAATTCTTCAATTCCTGGACAAATTCTTGCACATTTTCTTTTGAATCACGAATCACTTTAATTGCAACATTTCGGAATATATTACTAATTCTATCGAACCAACGTGCATAATATACAGTTGCAAATCCTCCTTTACCCATTTCCTGAATATCTCCAAACTTATTATAATCAATCCAAGATAATTTAAGTCTCTCATCGTCTAATATTTTCTTAAGCTCAGGATTGATATGGTCTGGTGATTTATTAGTTTTCAAAAGACTTCTATACTTTGTATACCAATCATTTGCACTCTGAATATCTCTCTTTGTACCGATACCGTTTCGATAAAATCGAGCAACGTTACTCATTGCCATTTTACTACCCATATTAGCAGATTTTTGATAATTTTCAAATGCTTTGTTGTAATCTCGATCGATTCCTTTACCATTTTCATAACAATAACCAACATTACATATTGCGTAAGCATTATCCAAATCAGCCGATCGCTTATAATATTCAAATGATTTTTGGTAATTTCTTTCTACTCCAATTCCATAAAGATAACAATCACCAACAGCATGCATTGCAACTGGATTTCCTAACTCAGCTGCTTTTATATAATATTCAAAAGCCTTATTTTCGTCTTTCTCAACACCAATACCATATTTATAACTGTAACCAAGATTATAAAGTTGTTCAGAGTCCATTTTTTTTTAAAGAAAAAAATCTTATAACAAGTAAAATTCAAGCTTTGATTGCCTGAAACGTAATGGAGGACATTAAATGGTTATTTAAAGTGACACAAAGTCACCAATAATAATTTAATTGCCTGTATCACTAACTGATTAATTGGTTTCGGATCTTGCTCGTGACCAGCCACATTTCATTTTTAGGTAATTTAAAGGGGAGAGTCTCCGGACACCTACTAACACGTGAGTTTTGCACTTACCAAATATAAATCAACCAATCATAAAAAACCCTAACCCTAACGCTAACTAGGTAGGTGCAAATCGGTAGGTGTCCGGAGACTTTCCCAATTTTTAGAGGTGCAGCATCACATGATGTATGACCAATCAAATTATAGAGTTTTTACGAAGCAATCCAAATTTACAACAGAAAACATGACAATTATAATACAAACTAATTTTGACGAAATATTGATTATATATAATAACTTTTTGTATCTGGATTATTTATAATAATTCATTATAAATCATGACAAACTCCCATATTATGATCACCAAAATAATGAGTAAGTTCTGTAACTTTAGTTATTAGACGAAACCTCTGGCGAAAGTCGAAACACCAAAGTCTTCTGACGAAATACGAAACCTTAAACTTAAAATGACGAAACCTTACACTCAAAAAGATTAAACCCTAGTGCTCCCGTTAAAAAAAAAATTGTTAGTTCATTGAATTAGCATTCATAATTTATTCAGAGATCAGTATCTGAAATTACATATATACCAGCAAAAATAAACCAGCTCATTTTTTCTTGACAATGCTAGGACTGTTATAGACCGGTTGAAATAACCTTGTCAAAAGATATAGTACTCATGAGAATAACACAAATAATGAATTAAACATACTAGCACAAAATAAATTTGTAAGATCACAAAAGAAGCACCAAGAGATTTCTCACTAGAACTAATATGTATAATATAAAATAGAATACTCATTTCTAACTCCCTTTAAGCAATTCAAGCGCCTATTATACTATAAAATTTTTATAAATTTCTGGCTTGTTCATTTTTTATACACATATTCTTCAACGATTTTCAACAATAATTATTTGCATATTCGTCTTTTATTTGCTTTGTCTTTTTCAATTTCTTCAGTTTCGTCAACTTTCATTAGTTTTGTCATTTTGTCATTTAATTGGCGTAACTCGAAACTAAGTTTCGCGTTTTGTCAGTGAGGTTTTATCTAACAACTATATCAGTAACAGAATTTTGTTTACAATATCTCGCAAAAAGATCATGATATCTCTAATTCAATTTAACTCATCTATCTTGAATAGTGAATATACCCTATAACAGAATTTTTAAGTAGCTCATACATTACTTTAAATACAAACTAGACACCTATTGCGGTTATCAAAATAGCAAGTATGTTCTGTAACTAAGTTATTTACAGAAAATCATAATAATCCTAATGCAAACTAACTCAAACTTTATAGATCGCTCGAATAGTAAGTTCTGTAATAGAATTTTTTATGTAACTTATAATAAAAATCACAACAATTCTAATGCAAACTAACACATTTTAGTCACATATCATGATTAGTAGAATGGTGAGTAGGTTCTGTAACAAATTATTTGCAGTAACTTACAATAGAAATAATGAAATTATAATACAAACTAACTCATCTAAACCACACATTGTAGTTATCGAAATAGAGAGTAAGTTCTATAATAGTACATTAATCATATTAGGATCATACCAATTTTAATGCAAACTAGCACACCTAGTGCATAATCTACTAAAATTTGATAGTCAAATATATATTAGCTTGTGATTAAGTCAGACATCAAAAATCAAATACTAAATATATTATGTATATATAATATTGGTTAATCTGCGATTTTTTGATGTCTTCCTAATTACAAGTATTTGACTATCAAATTTTGTTTGATTGTGCCAAGCACTAAACACCCCTTAAACACTTATTGTAGTTACTAGAATAGTGATTATGTTCTGCAACAATTTCAATTCAAACTAACTCAAACTTAACTATATAATATAGTCACTAGAATAGTGAGTAAGTTCTGTAATAAAAAGTTTTACTCTAATTCAAAATAAAAAATTATGATAATTCTAATGCAGACTAACTCAATTTTAACAACATACTGTAGTAGTTATAAGTTTTATATAAAATTATTTATAGTAACCACAATAGAAATTATAATATAGTACTTTTCAATGCAAACTAACTCATTTAATTACATACTATAGTTACTAATAGCAAGTAAGTTCTGTAACAGAATTTTTTCAAGTAACTTAAAATAAAATTTATACTAATTCTAATGCAAACTAAAATTGTCCTTCTCTATAATTATACCATTTGTTTTACATAAAAAGATGTGATTATAAAATTTCAATAGTAATATGTTTATATAGAGTTTTTTTAATAAATACAGTATATTGCCACTAATTTTTCAAAGAATGATGCTTATAAAAAGAGTGTAATTATATAGAAGGTAACTGTAGAGGAGATGACTGTAATTTAATTTTATCTACATATTGTAATTACTAGAATAACAAGTAACTATAACAAGATTTTTTATAGCAGATATGTTATAATTAAAAATTACAATAATCTGATGTATTTTATTACATATAATAGTTACTATATTGCAATAGTGATAGATATAACAATAAAAATAAATAATATAAAATAAAAAATAATATAAAATAGTTTATTAAAAATAAAATGAATTAAACAAAAATTAATATAAAGAATTATTATAATAATTTATAATTATAGTTATAAATAATATTCTATAAAATAGATACACAAACTTTACAACTTCACTAAGTAACTATTAATGATTACTATTCTTTAGCAGAGTTTATTTTTTATATTGCCTACCTATTCTATAAAATATCTGTTATAAGGCTATGCAAAATTAATTGGTTTTCATAACCTGGCCAGGTTAAAATTTAAAAATTTTAAAAAAAATTTTTATATGTTTTAATAATCAGGTAGGTTTTAAAAAAAATATTATATAAATTTTATAAAAATTTTATATATAAATTTTTAAAAAAAAGCTGGCTAGCCAGGTCTATTTAAAAGTTTATGAAATGAAAACCAAGTAATTAAATTTGTATAGCCTAAATTTACTAGTTTATTATTCAAATTTAAGTTGTTTAACTTTTAATAATATGTTAATATAGCTTAGCAAAATTTTTTATAATAGTTTGTTATTATAGTTATAAATTTAACAATGAAATTTTTTTTACTATTTAAATATAAGTATTTTAACTTTGATAATATATTAATATAGCAATAATTTATTAATATACTGTATTTGGGCCTGAGGTTGAGTGTGTATTTAGAGAGGGTGTGCATTTATATAGGGTGCATTTAAAGAGGGTTTACTGTAATTTTAATACAATATCTATATACTGTGTATTATCAGAATAGTAAATTCTACAACAAAGTTTTTTATAGTAACTCTCAATAGAAATTA